TCAGGGATCCATGACCCAAGGTAATACCAGTCAACCCAAGTGATGGTCGCTTTAGTTTGTGTCAGGGATCCATGACCCAAGGAAATACCAGTCAACCCAAGTGATGGTCGCTTTAGTTTGTTTCAGGGATCGATGACCCAAGGTAATACCAGTCAACCCAAGTGATGGTCGCTTTAGTCTGTGTCAGGGATCCATGTAATACCAGTCAACTCAAGTGGTGATAGCTTTAGTCTGTGTCAGGGATCCATGACCCAAGGTAATGATAGTCAACTCAAGTGGTAATAGCTTTAGTCTGTGTCAGGGATCCATGACCCAAGGTAATGATAGTCAACTCAAGTGGTGATAGCTTTTATCTGTGTCAGGGATCCATGACCCAAGGTAATGCCAGTCAACCCAAGTGATGATCGCTTTAGTTTGTGTCAGGGATCCATGACCCAAGGTAATGATAGTCAACTCAAGTGGTGATAGCTTTTATCTGTGTCAGGGATCCATGACCCAAATATAATGACAGTCAACCTCAGTTATGATCGCTTTTGTCTGTGTCAGGGATCCATGACCCAAGGTAATGCCAGTCAACTCAATTGGTGATCGCTTTAGTCTGTGTCAGGGATCCATGACCCAAGGTAATACCAGTCAACCCAAGTGATGGTCGCTTTAGTTTGTGTCAGGGATCCATGACCCAAGGTAATACCAGTCAACCCAAGTGATGGTCGCTTTAGTCTGTGTCAGGGATCGATGACCCAAGGTAATGATAGTCAACTCAAGTGGTGATAGCTTTAGTTTGTGTCAGGGATCCATGACCCAAGGTAATGATAGTCAACTCAAGTGGTGATAGCTTTTATCTGTGTCAGGGATCCATGACCCAAGGTAATGATAGTCAACTCAAGTGGTAATAGCTTTAGTCTGTGTCAGGGATCCATGACCCAAGGTAATGATAGTCAACTCAAGTGGTGATAGCTTTTATCTGTGTCAGGGATCCATGACCCAAGGTAATGCCAGTCAACCCAAGTGATGGTCGCTTTAGTTTGTGTCAGGGATCCATGACCCAAGGTAATGATAGTCAACTCAAGTGGTGATAGCTTTAGTTTGTGTCAGGGATCCATGACCCCAGAGTAATGATAGTCAACTCAAGTGGTGATAGCTTTTATCTGTGTCAGGGATCCATGACCCAAATATAATGACAGTCAACCTCAGTTATGATCGCTTTTGTCTGTGTCAGGGATCCATGACCCAAGGTAATGCCAGTCAACTCAAGTGGTGATCGCTTTAGTCTGTGTCAGGGATCCATGACCCAAGGTAATACCAGTCAACCCAAGTGATGGTCGCTTTAGTTTGTGTCAGGGATCCATGACCCAAGGTAATGATAGTCAACTCAAGTGGTGATAGCTTTAGTTTGTGTCAGGGATCTTGACCCAAGGTAATGATAGTCAATTTTAAGTGGTGATAGCTTTTATCTGCGTCAGGGATCCATGACCCAAAGTAATGCCAGTCAACTCAAGTGATGATCGCTTTAGTCTGTGACAGAGATCCATGACCCAAGGTAATACCAGTCAACTCAAGTGATGGTCGCTTTAGTTTCTGTCAGGGATCCATGACACAAGGCAATACCAGTCTACTCAAGTGATGGTCGCTTTAGTTTGTGTCAGGGATCCATGACCCAAGGTAATACCAGTCAACCCAAGTGATGGTCGCTTTAGTTTGTGTCAGGGATCCATGACCCCAATATTGTGATAGTCAACCTAAGTTATAATCGCTTTCGTCTGTGTGAGGGATCCATGACCCCAATATAATGATAGTCAACTTAAGTTATCATCGCTTTAGTTTGTGTCAGGGATCCATGACCCCAATATTATGATAGTCTACCTAAGTTATAATCGTTTTAGTTTGTGTGAGGGATCCATGACCCCAATATTATGATAGTCTACCTAAGTTATAATCGCTTTAGTCTGTGTGAGGGATCCATGACCCCAATATAGTGATAGTCAACCTAAGTTATCATCGCTTCAGTCTTTGTGAGGGATCCATGACCCAATTATAATGATAGTCAACCTAAGTTATCATCGCTTTAGTCTGTGTCAGGGATCCATGACCCCAATATAATGATAGTCAACCTAAGTTATGATCGCTTTAGTCTGTGTCAGGGATCCATGACCCCAATATAATGATAGTCAACCTCAGTTATGATCGCTTTAGTCTGTGTCAGGGATCCATGACCCCAATATAATGATAGTCAACCGAAGTTATGATCGCTTTAGTCTGTGTCAGGGATCCATGACCCAAATATGATAGTCAACCTAAGTTATGATCGTTATCAGGGATCATGACCCAAATATAATGATAGTCAACCAGCTTTCTCTGTGTCAGGATCCATGACCCAAATATAATGATAGTCAACCTAAGTTATGATCGCTTTAGTCTGTGTCAGGGATCCATGACTCAAAGGTAATGACAGTCAACCCAAGTGATGATCGCTTTAGTCCGTGTCAGCGATCCATGACCCAAATATAATGATAGTCAACCTAAGTTATAAACGCTTCAGTCTGTGTCAGGAATCCATGACCCAAATATAATTATAGTCAACCTAAGTTATGATCGCTTTAGTCTGTGTGAGGGATCCATGACCCCAATATAATGATAGTCAACCTAAGTTATAATCGCTTTAGTCTGTGTGAGGGATCCATGACCCCAATATAATGATAGTCAACCTAAGTTATAATCGCTTTAGTCTGTGTGAGGGATCCATGACCCCAATATTATGATAGTCTACCTAAGTTATAATCGCTTTAGTCTGTGTGAGGGATCCATGACCCCAATATTATGATAGTCTACCTAAGTTATAATCGCTTTAGTCTGTGTGAGGGATCCATGACCCCAATATAGTGATAGTCAACCTAAGTTATCATCGCTTCAGTCTTTGTGAGGGATCCATGACCCAATTATAATGATAGTCAACCTAAGTTATCATCGCTTCAGTCTGTGTCAGGGATCCATGACCCCGATATAATGATAGTCAACTGAAGTTATGATCGCTTTTGTCTGTGTCAGGGATCCATGACCCAAATATAATGATAGTCCACCTAAGTTATGATCGCTTTAGTCTGTGTCAGGGATCCATGACCCCAATATAGTGATAGTCAACCTAAGTTATGATCGCTTTAGTCTGTGTCAGGGATCCATGACCCAAATATAATGATAGTCAACCTAAGTTATGATCGCTTTAGTCTGTGTCAGGGATCCATGACCCCAATATAATGATAGTCAACCGAAGTTATGATCGCTTTAGTCTGTGTCAGGGATCCATGACCCAAATATGATAGTCAACCTAAGTTATGATCGCTTCAGTCTGTGTCAGGGATCCATGACCCCAATATAATGATAGTCAACCTAAGTTATGATCGCTTTAGTCTGTGTCAGGGATCCATGACTCAAAGGTAATGACAGTCAACCCAAGTGATGATCGCTTTAGTCTGTGTCAGCGATCCATGACCCAAATATAATGATAGTCAACCTAAGTTATGAACGCTTCAGTCTGTGTCAGCGATCCATGACCCAAATATAATTATAGTCAACCTAAGTTATGATCGCTTTAGTCTGTGTCAGGGATCCATGACCCCAATATAATGATAGTCAACCTAAGTTATGATCGCTTTAGTCTGTGTCAGGGATCCATGACCCCAATATAATGATAGTCAACCTAAGTTATGATCGCTTTAGTCTGTGTGAGGGATCCATGACCCAAAGGTAATGACAGTCAACCTAAGTTATGATCGCTTTAGTCTGTGTCAGGGATCCATGACCCAAGTTATAATGACGACCCAAAATATAATTATGTAGATCATGACCCCAATATAGTGATAGTCAACCTAAGCTATCACTTCAGTCTGTGTGAGGGATCCATGACCCCAATATAATGATAGTCAACCTAAGTTATAATCGCTTTAGTCTGTGTGAGGGATCCATGACCCCAATATTATGATAGTCTACCTAAGTTATAATCGCTTTAGTCTGTGTCAGGGATCCATGACCCAAATATAGTGATAGTCAACCTAAGTTATCATCGCTTCAGTCTGTGTCAGGGATCCATGACCCAATTATAATGATAGTCAATCCCCTAAGTTATCATCGCTTCAGTCTGTGTCTGTCAGGGATCCATGACCCCGAATATAATGATAGTCAACTGAAAGTTATGATCGCTTTTGTCTGTGTCAGGGATCCATGACCCAATATAATGATAGTCAACCTAAGTTATGATCGCTTTAGTCTGTGTCAGGGATCCATGACCCAATATAATGATAGTCAACCCAAGTTATGATCGCTTTAGTCTGTGTCAGGGATCCATGACCCAAATATAATGATAGTCAACCTAAGTTATGATCGCTTTAGTCTGTGTCAGGGATCCATGACCCCAATATAATGATAGTCAACCGAAGTTATGATCGCTTTAGTCTGTGTCAGGGATCCATGACCCAAATATGATAGTCAACCTAAGTTATGATCGCTTCAGTCTGTGTCAGGGATCCATGACCCCAATATAATGATAGTCAACCTAAGTTATGATCGCTTTAGTCTGTGTCAGGGATCCATGACTCAAAGGTAATGACAGTCAACCCAAGTGATGATCGCTTTAGTCTGTGTCAGCGATCCATGACCCAAATATAATGATAGTCAACCTAAGTTATGAACGCTTCAGTCTGTGTCAGGAATCCATGACCCAAATATAATTATAGTCAACCTAAGTTATGATCGCTTTAGTCTGTGTCAGGGATCCATGACCCCAATATAATGATAGTCAACCTAAGTTATGAACGCTTCAGACTGTGTCAGGGATCCATGACCCCAATATAATGATAGTCAACCTAAGTTATGATCGCTTCAGTCTATGTGAGGGATCCATGACGCAAAGGTAATGACAGTCAACCTAAGTTATGATCGCTTTAGTCTGTGTCAGGGATCCATGACCCAAATATGATAGTCAACCTTAGTTATCATCGCTTCAGTCTGTGTGAGGGATCCATGACCCCAATATAATGATAGTCAGCCTAAGTTATGATCGCTTCAGACTGTGTCAGAACTCCATGACCCAAAGGTAATGGCAGCACTTTATGACAGCATATGTCGGATACACCAAGTGGTCCTGATATACGGTTGACTTCATATCACCAGGGTTTATACTGTATTGATCGCCTTGCTAAGACTACCTGCTGTGTTACCTTCAAGGCTGTCTGCCTACAACAGACCCACAACAATCTGACAGCGAGCACCCATGCTCTACAGTACACTGACCAAGCGACACCAACCACCTCCCGTGAGAGGCTAGAGCCGACCGAGGCCTACTTAGTGACATCGATCTGGTAATTAAACTTTAATTTTTCTTTGACAAGTCAGGTCGAATTGGCAAATCAATACGGAACCTTTTGACGAGACGATCGTCGATATCCTGAAAAGCACGGCTGGGTGGTTTTCAATAAGCCCGACAACGCTCTGAACACGCATGCTTGTTGGGTATCGATGCAAATATTTGCTCTGAACTCGACTTCCTAAGGTTTTTTATTGTCTTGTTTTGTATCATGTTAAACAGGAAGAATTTTCACATGAGTATACAACGAGAGGTGGAAACAAATATTTTAACACACTCGCAGTGTGTTTTATGTGTGTGTTAATGTTTTGTGGGAACATTATGCTTTGAATTTTAAAAACAATAATACTTTTCTGGATTGGTCATATATTTATTTTGATACAAATGTAAAAATTATTCTGACTCAATACTAAAATATCCCCATGCTGACGCAAACATATGTTACATTCATATACGTAAGAATCTAATTCATAATGTACCAATCCTTATACACCATTATTGGACATATGTAAGAATTCAACTGCAATTGAAACCTACCAAGTTCAAGGCATGAAAAGAGTCTAGGAATGTTTTTGGAAACACAAATTCCACATTTACACATTTATGAATAATTAAAAAAATACCCTTTGTCTCCACGCACACACACATACACATAGATACATCGATAGATAGACAGACATATAGATAGATAGATAGATAGATAGATAGATAGATAGATAGATAGATAGATAGATAGATAGATAGACAGACAAACATACATAGATAAATAGATAGACAGACAAACATATAGATAGATAAATAGATAGACAGGCAAACATATATAGATGGATAGACAGACAGACACACATATATATATATATATATAGATAAATAGATATACAGACAGACAGACAAACATATAGATAGATAGATAGACAGACAGACAGACAAACAGATAGATAGATAGATAGATGACAGACGGACAAACATATAGATAGATATATAGATAGACAGACAGACAGACAAAAATATAAAGATAGATAGATAGACAGACAGACATACAGATAGATAGATAGACAGACAGACATACAGATAGATAGATAGATAGACAGACAAACATATAGATAGATAGACAGACAGACAGACAAACATATAGATAGATAGACAGACAGACAGATAGATAGATAGATAGACAGACAGACAAACATATAGATAGATAGATATATAGACAGACAGACAAACATATATATAGATAGACAGACAGACATACAGATAGATAGATAGATAGACAGACATATAGATAGATAGATAGACAGACAGACAGACAAACATATAAATAGATAGATAGACAGACAGACAAACAGATAGATAGATAGATAGATGACAGACGGACAAACATATAGATAGATATATAGATGGACACAGACAGACAAACATATAGATAGATAGATAGATAGATAGACAGACAGACAAACATATAGATAGATAGACAGACAGACATAGAGATAGATAGACAGACAGACAAACAGACAGACAAACATATAGATAGATAGATATATAGATAGATAGATAGACAGACAGATAGACAAACATATAGATAGACAGACAGACAGATAGATAGATAGACAGACAGACAAACATATAGATAGATAGACAGACAGACAGACAAACATATAGATAGACAGACAGATAAGTAGATAGACAGACAGACAAACATATAGATAGATAGATATATAGACAGACAGACAAACATATATATAGATAGACAGACATACTGGTAGATAGATAGATAGACAGACATATAGATAGATAGATAGACAGACAGATAGACAAACATATAGATAGATAGATAGATAGATAGATAGATAGATAGACAGACATACAGATAGATAGACAGACAGATAGATAGATAGATAGATAGATAGATAGATAGATAGATAGATAGATAGACAGACATACAGATAGATAGACAGACAGACAAACATATAGATAGATATATAGATAGACAGACAGACAAACGTATAGATAGACAGACAGACATACAGATAGATGGATAGATAGACAGACAGACAGACAAACATATAGATAGATAGATAGATAGACAGACAGACAAACATATAGATAGATAGACAGATGATAGATAGATAGACCAACATATAGATAAATAGATAGATAGATAGATAGACAAACATATAGATAGATAGACAGACAGACAAACATATAGATAGACAGATAGATAGATAGACAGACAGACAGACAAACATATAGATAGATATATAGATAGACAGACAGACAGACAAACATATAGATAGATAGATAGGCAAACAGATAGACAAACATTGATAGATAGATAGACAGAGAGACATACAGATAGATAGATAGATAGACAGACAGACAGACATATAGATAGATAGACAGATGGATAGATAGATAGATAGATATTACTAAGGTAAAAGATGTCCTTCACTTAACAAACTCAGACATAAATGCTTCATATATTTCCTGTAAAAGACACAGCGGGGGTGTCAACGGGTCGTATCTTGTTTGTTATTGATAGATAATAATAAATACCATTATGTATATGCAAAGGGGAGCGTTTCTTGAATCTCGATGGCTGAAAAACAAGGGCTTAAGTACTGGTCAACACAAGCCAAGTTTCATAAGTGAGATTAAACGACTGTGATATAACAAGCTTGTCGAGAGGTAATCCGTCAGTTTAATGTCTACCATTACGACTGGCTACAGCATAAACCTGAATGATATACAGACCATGCATTCGACTGACGTCGGTACAAGGAATTAATACTCCACATGGCTGGATATCTATTCAGGTGGCTGGTCTATCCCTGGATTAAGGACCTGGGTCTATTGGGGGTTATTAAACTCGCATAAAGCGTCGAGACAGCGGGTAGTGATTGCAACGTTTGTAAAATTCGCTCTGACATCGAGAAGGTTGCCTTCTTATCTTTTAACAGGATTTAATGAATTTGGGTGCGACACAGCGCCTTAATGTCTGTAGATCTTGTTAAAAGACGTGTTCGAGCTGTGTTGGTCACTGTCTGCGGTTTGAGAAAGTAGTCAGATTGCGTCTGACATTTCTTATATGACGTTCAGTTGCTTGTTTTGGCCGAGGTAACACGACCGATCGAAGATTGATTAATTGACTGGCTAATATCATACTTGTTCAGAACCAACGAACAGGAGTGGACGTGTAACCGTATACTCCCGTGAGAGAGACAACTGCGTGATCAGTGATCGATTGTCATCGATTAACACGGGGTGAGTACCAAGTGGTGGGAAACGTATATGAAATTGCAAGGGGAAATTACATGATATGTTCCTTATACCACACGGGTACATTTACAGATATTGTCTCGAGGATTTAGAAATTTTTGAAGCACATTCTATGATAATTATCCTCAATATTTATCCCAGATAAATTAATTACTTTTTTAACGTCATAATCCTCGCGAAACTTTTCATATGTAAGACTTTTGTGTTTGATAGTAAACAATTTTCAATATAACTATTCGTGTAACTTAACTAAAATATATATTCAAGAAAATGTTTTAGGTCATAAATGACCATTAACATTCGGTTGGTGAAAAGATGAAGATTTCCAGTGAAAATAATGATTCCAAAATAATGATTTCTCGTCGATGGTGTGGGTGTTTAAGCAGCTACACTTACCCATACCACAAAGCTATTTCATGTGTAGTGTAATCAACTTGCAAAACAAGAGTTGGAAAAACTCATCCCGCAAGTGTTCGGGTTTGGGTAGACCCAGAACAACTTCTGCATGGCAGGCTGTCCAGGCTAATTAATTTGTGGGTAATCATGTCTTTTGCTGTGTGCAGCGTTAACAAAAAGAAACTAAAACAATCACCAAGAGTTTGGGCGTTGGGAAGTCTAGTGGTTAAGCGTTTGCTCATCACGCTGAAAAATCGGGTTTGGTTTTCGACATGGGATGTGTGAAGCCAGTTTCTGGTGTCCACCGCCGTGATATTGCTGGAATAATGCTAAAAGCGGCTTAAAACCTCACTCACTCACTCACAAAGAAATCCAGCGGAAGTTATTATCTCACAGTAACGAAATTAATATACGCCTGACAGCTAATTATTGTCACAATGATAATCACTGGTTATCACTGATACCAGGGAGCGTATTGTATTGCATGAAGTAAAACCACAGACCGCCTTTAACAGTCAGAATTAATCCAGGCGTATTGGCTAAACGTCAACTTGGCAGATTGATTTTAGTGAAGTTTTTCTTTTTAAACAATTGTGCTGGGCAACGCCAAGTACTTGAGCGTAGATCGTGTAACAGCGCTCAGAGAGCCTTTAAAACCACGGACAACGTTGTAAAGTCATCATGATATAGTCATATCCCTAAATCAAGGTCCATGTCAGTGTGGTGATTCACGTTTATTATTAAAGGACAATTCCACAAAGTATTCTGAAAAAACCCTTTATTTCTTGTTTGTTTGTTGTATAACGCCGTACTCTGCAGTCCTGCCATATGGCTGCGGTCTGTAAATAATCGAGTTTGGACCACACAATCCAGTGATCGACATCATGAGCATCGATCTACGCAGTTGGGATACGATGACATGTCAAAGTCGGCGAGCCTGACCACCCGATCCCGTTAGTTTCGACAAGCATGGGTTACTGAAGACAAGTTCAAACCAGGATCTTCACGGGTAGAAAGGGGTATGAAAACAGTGTACAAGAACAATGGAGGAACATAAAAATATGTGAATGCATTAAGGGGAGAGTTATTATTTAGAGTAATAGAGCAATAAAACCTCTGCCTCCCACCCTGATTAATTGACCGCCCCTTACCAAGTAACGTTGCACGATGTTGTAATTAAGTATATGGTATCAAATAGGGGTGGGTATTGCAGAGAATTTCGATATTGCGATATATTGCGATGCGAAAGCATATATTGCGATATGTATTGCAATATATTGCAAGAATTATTTTTTAAACACAAACTACTTATAATCGAGTTAATGCTTGATTATAAAGCAAAAACACAACAAAATCACTATGATTGATTAACCTTTAATAAAAACTTTTAATCATGACAAAATATAAATGTAAGCAATATTTGGCACTTATGAAACAAGGAAAAGAACAATTTAAAAAGCGGAAATATCCGAAGATTTCCGAGTGTTACGAAATGTTCCGAATGCATGTCAAAATACCGGTTTTCGATCAGCGTATCGCAATACGTATCGTTTTCATGTCTGAACCGGTAAATACCGGTAAACCGGTTATATTGCGCAGCCCTAGTATCAAACACGTTCCGTTTATCGATGGGTCACCTTGACCTGGATTGCTGAAGACCAATTCTAATCCGGATATTCACGGTTGATTCCCTCGATGAACAAGACAATACTGTGTACACGTGGAGATATCTTCATCATGGCAACCAGATTGCCATTCAGAACTGATAAACTGAGTTAATTCATGCAGTTGATACAGTTATCAAAGGGGGTGTTTGATCCATTTATCATTAGCCTTGCAATTTTGTCGACAACTCACGTCATAAAATCAATGAAGAGTAATTTTATCTTGACAAGAAAAATAAGCGATTGCTGTCTCTTTTTAGCCATCGACCCAAGAACTGAACACGAACTTCCATGTAACCACGGACGCATAATGACTGCATTGACAAGTGCGCGAAGATATCGATATTTCACAGAAGTCGATGCCACACATACTATTCAGTGGGCACCCCTGGTTATCGTCATGTATTTACTTGACTTGAAAATAACAGTATGCCTAAACCACCGGTCAAAAAAAGGGACAAAAAGACAAGAACCTCCACTCCCACCTCACCCCCGTCATAACAAACCCGGTATCACATACACTAAACAAACACAATTTGTTATTTCAAAGATTTTGTTTGCTGCAATGTGACGGTGTTTATGATCGAATATGGAACAAAGAATCCAGTGGTTGACATCACGAGCATCGATCTACGCAACTGGGACACAATGACAATCATAAGCCAAATAAGCGAGCCTGACCATCGGGCTGCTGCTGACCAATTCTAACCTGTATGTTCAAGGTTTCTTTCCATGAGATGTTATTTAAACTGGTATTACAATTGGGCTTTGGAACTCATGTGTACAACGTTTCGGAGGTTGTGTCATTTTGTTTACATTTTGACAACGTTTTTGATATTTTTGTGAAATTTTTGTGTCTTCGCATTCAAGATTCTAGCAGCTCCTTGGCGATGTTCATGCATGCGTGCATGGCTGCTTGTGGACTTGTCCGGGCACATGTCGTTTCACAGTGTTGGCCCGTAGAGACATCATAGCACAGTTTAACAATGATATCCCGCTCAGACACATTTTACTGATTCCGAGCCCTTGAGCTTGTTCTATCTCCTTAACGTTAAAGGCCAAGCAGGGCAACAGTGAGTGAGTGAGTGAGTAAGATTTTACGCCGCTTTTAGCTATATTCCAGCAACATCAGTGCGGGGGACACCAGAAATGGGCTTCATATATTGTACCCATGTGGGGAATCGAACCCGGGTCTTCCCTTTAACCACTACGCTACCCCACCGCCCCCCAAGCAGGGTAACAAAGAAATAAGGTTCTTTGGTAAGACGCAGCAGGGAATCGAACTCCAGCACTTCCGCTCTCCGGAGTTTTAAAACTCTTATTTCTAGTCCTTAAGTCCGTAAGCACAATGCAGTTATGCTGAAAGGTATATATTTCAATACCCTGAAAAAATATCTACATGTCATTTTCCTCAAAACTACGCTAGTAAAAATAACACTCCTATTCCTTGTTTCAGTCGCAGGCAGAATCAGCTAGAGACTCCAAGACAATGCCACGCCTATCCACACCCTGGTTCCACCAGAAGAACGCCAGCCCTCAGTCCAGCCCCCCCGAACGAGTTGTCCACGCCTGTGATGGACGGAGAAGACATCGATGCTCTCACCCAGCGGCTGATGAAACCCACCCGGGCATCTCAGGCCAAAACGTCCCTCCATTGGAAGATGGACACTTACTTGGACAGAGGTCGACACGCTTGGTCCAAGATGGAGCTGTGCGAAGACAACAAGAAGTGTCTGTGGACATCTAACGGGACTGTCAAAAAGACGTATCAGACATAGGCTGGGGAGACAGAAACGAAATAAATGAAAGCGAAAAATAATGCGATATCAACGGTCTCGTGACTGACACACAATCCAAACTTAGAATCGTGAAAATACATTTGAAAATAAATACTTTCATGTTTGGTTAACTACTTCACAGAACAGGGTCATGAACAAACTGTGATATATATATGTCTGTTTTATTGTGTTGAATATTGTATTGTTGTGTTAAATATTGCTATGTGGCTGCTGTTATGCATGAAAACGAAATTATGCGTCAGGAAAATAATGCGACCTAAACAAACTGCGCGAAGTCAATGCAAAAGAAATGTTGTTTTTAAATCCTGTATGTTTGCTGTTTGAAATTGCTGTATGTTTAATAATACGAATGTAAACACATCTTCTCTATCTCAAGGGGGTGTATATCGATAACACCTTACTTTAATGACACTATATGTTAGCGCCTTACTTTGATGACACTATAGTTGTCGTTACAACATATGGGAGCTACTGGCGTATGTTGTCATGTGTAAATATACCAGGGATAGAAAGTTTTATAGTGACGTTATATATATTGATGGTCGTATTGTGATGTTTAATCTATCGTTTTGTGTGTTTTCCTACCAACTAGTGTATCAATAAACATATAAAATAACTGTTATTCCACAAGGTTACTTGACGATTAACGTGATGAATCCATATATGTACGTTTACACAATCTGAGCGTTAGTATAACTGATTCCCGAATGCTATTCAAAACGATAATATATCATAAAAAAGACTTGAAAGCAGGGGCGGATACAGCTTTTTGAGAAAGGGGGTTTGCAAAGTTCATTTTACCTGAGACCAAATAGATGGGCATATGACATGACACTTGATATACGTGTGCATCTTCCCTATTATTTACACAAGACGTTTCTGGCCAAAAACTTGCCCGTTCATCAGGTGAATGAAGTATTAGCCCAGAAACGTCGTGTGTAAATAATAAAGAAGTTGCACATCCATATCAAGTGTGTTGTATTACCCTACCAACTTCTAAATGCCTATCTACCCGTGAAGTTCCGGGTTAGAATATTGATCTTCAGTAACCCATGCTTATCGTATGAGGCGACTAACGGGATCGGGTGGTCAGGCTCGCTGACTTGGTTGACACATGTCATCGGTTCCCAATTGCGTAGATCGATGCCCATGCTGTTCATCATTGGATTGTCTGATTCCAGACTCCATTATTTACAGACCGCCGTCATATAGCTGGAATATTGCTGAGTGCGGCGTAAAACTAAACTGACTCACTCACTCTAAATGCCTATCAAACATCAGATCGACATATCATTTAATAAACCTTCATGACAGGGGGTGCACCCTTGCCAATCCCCTCTGGATCCGCCTATGGAAAGGTTTGGTGTTCGAGTATACTTCCAAAGCGAACATCCCTGTTAGAAGGTAGCAGCGACATTACGCGCAGGATCCTGGAACCAGTCTAACGTCTCTGCTTGCCAGTTACATCTGTTATCTGCTTCACTGATGTCGAATAACTGAACACACGAGGATTTACAGGCCGCTTCAAATGGTGTCACCTGAGACACTGGACCAGTACATCTTTGCGACCAAGACTATGAATAGCACCACGTTGACATCTCCATTGTTGTTTAATTCCACAGTCACCAGCATCGCAGCTGTTGAACCTGAAACTGGTGATTGATATCATGAGTATCGAACTACGCAGCTGGGGCACGATGACACGCATCAACCAAGTTAGCGAGCTTGACTTCCGTTAGACTTCTGGGCCTGCTTTCACAAAGCGCTAAGGTGATCGTAAGTCACAACTAAGGTAACCTTAGTGCAATGTTGAAGTATGGGAGTTAAGGTTAACCTTAGTATACGCTGCTTCGTTAAACTACCCTGAACTACAATTCCGTCTGTAGCTTCTTGCGATAAACATGGTTTGCTGGAGACATATTCTAACCAGAATTCCAGGGGTAGATTTGTAGATTACTAATCAGTGCGAAAGTACGCATGTACCGCATGAGGGCTAATCATACTATAATTTAAAGCTGATTATATATTTGAACAAATATATTGTCAAAGACTAAAAGAATAATGAAGAGTATTGATCATGAGCTAGTTAGTAAAGAATTGCGAAGTCTCCATGTTGAGGGAATACTATTCTTGTGATTTGATTATATCCCTCTGAATCTGACACTAAAACTATTTTCATGCCACTGATAACGACATAAATCCTATATTACAACTCTCGTGGTGACGAAGATATTCATTCTGATATATCCCGTTATGTTTGTTTTACCTTTCCGTAAAGATTTAGACATTGAACCAAAACCGCGCTACGGGCCAAGGGAGGTAACTCCACTAATACTGGTTCATCGGAAATCAACTCGTCACAAACTCAGTAAAACTGGTGTATCCAATACAGACCTTACATATCGCTATAGTCCACAAGTCTGAGTGTGTTAGTGAAAAGAGAAACGTGTCTCTTTCTTATTGCATAAACGACATCATTAAAGCTAATACTTTTCTGTGAAACATTGCAGAAACTTCTTGTTAGTCAGGAAATTAACAAATGCATAGATCCTATTTGCAATTGGTTGGAAATGGCAAACCATGTGAGTGAATGGGTGGGTGAGTGAGTGGTGAGTGAGTGAGTGAGTGAGTGAGTGAATGAGTGAGTGAGTCAAAAACTTCTCCAGCGAGAAGCGGTCACGAAAGGCCCAGTTGTCTTCCTTGGGCACGACAGAAACGTATGACCGTGGGTTCGAATCCCGATTCGGCCCGATCATGTTTCTAGATCCGTCAGCACTATGATGATGCTCCCTGGTTTACCCAAAGAGGTAAGACCAGCATCACCTTTAGACAGTCCTCCCACGTTAAGCTGACACGCTGTGATGTAACTGGAATACCGTTCCAAATCAGCATAAAACTCACGTCACTCACTCACCCCAGGGTGCGTGAACCGTAATCTTTGAACCATAGAAACTGCATATTAAACATGGCAGTGACGAATTATGCAACTGTCCCTGGTTGGTCTTGACACCCTACGCTTGTATAACAATCTTTAAAGGCTGCATGCAGAGATAAGTCTTATCTGCGTTCTTGTATTTGGAGTTTAGAAACTAGGTCGCGTTCTTCCCGATACTTACCATGTTTGTGCTGTTACTGCTGTTGTCCCTGTTGCAGTATGGGGACACATTTGACCCTGGATGTAGCTTCATGAATGGTCAGTGTCAGTACAGTGTCAAACTCGGACACGAGGGTCAGTGCGACACTCAGACCACCGCCGCCACCACCGCCTCCGCTTCCTGCTGTGCCGCTGTACAAAATGACGTCACGTTGATGAAGGCGTCCATGGCGTCCATGGCGAAGCAGATCGAACAGATTCAGAGTACGGTAAGTTATAGTATGAACCAGTACGCGACATAAGGTGCTCATTTTGAGCAGTAGGTTGAAGGTTGTAGTATGGCAAGTACGTATCGTACGGTGCTCAGTTTCAGAATACCGTAGTAGACAATACATTACGTAGGGTTGACAGATTCAAGATACGGTAGGTTATACCATGAATCAGTACGCGAAATACGGTGCTCATTTTGAGCAGTAGGTTGAAGGATGTAGTATGGCAAGTACGTACCGTAATAGACAATACATTACGTTGGGTTGACAGATTCAAGATACGGTAGGTTATACAATGAATCAGTACGCGAAATACGATGCTCATTTTGAGCAGTAGGTTGAAGTATGGCAAGATGTAGTATGGCAAGTACGTACCGTAATAGACAATACATTACGTTGGGTTGACAGATTCAAGATACGGTAGGTTATACCATGAATCAGTACGCGAAATACGGTGCTCATTTTGAGCAGTAGGTTGAAGGATGTAGTATGGCAAGTACGTACCGTAATAGACAATACATTACGTAGGGTTGACAGATTCAAAATACGGTAGGTTATAGTATGAGTCAGTACGACATACGGTGCTCATTTTGAGAGTACGGTAGGGTATATTCTAAGCGACTACGTGACGTACGGTGCTCCGTTTCAGAATACCGTACATGGTGTTCGTAGACAATTCTTTACGTAGAGTTGACAGACTCAGGACACTCTAATCCGACTAAAGAGGTTCCAAAGAGTGTAGGGGCGGTGGGGTAGCCTAGTGGTTAAAGCGTTCGCTCGTCACGCCCAAGATCCGGGTTCGATTCCCCACATGGGTACAATGTGTGAAGCCCATTTCTGGTGTCCCCCGCCGTGATATTGCTGGAATATTGCTAAAAGCGGCGTAAAACCAAACTCAGTCAGTCAGTCCAAAAAGTGTAAAAGATAAAACAGACGTTAATATTATACAAATAATATGCACAGGTAACTGTACATCTGTGATGGCAATAGGTGTTTGCCGGTTATTCTGAAAACAATGAAAAAACAGATACCGTCTCATATAGTTTCTAGTGCAAACGTATCATCGTCTTCTTGGAGGAAGATACTTTGCCCTTATCAGAGGCCTCGCTTCACACGCTGGTATTGCGACCACAGAAATAGGAATCAGTTTGAACAAAAATATTTAGTTCCTAAGCATCGCGCAGGGGGCGGTGGGTTTGTCTAGTGGTTAAGGCGTTCGCTCCTCACGCCAAGACCCGGGTTCGAGTCCCCACATGGACAAAATGTGTGACGCCCATTTCTTGTCTCCTCCGCCGTGATATTGCTGGAATATTGCTAAAAGTGGCGTAAAACTAAACTCACTCACTCACATTCCTAAGTGTCGCAAGTTTGAGATCCGGTATGTGATAGCTTAACTGCAGGAAACCAAAAACAATAGATTTGGTAGAAATCTTTGTTAAAAGTATCACCCATTGTGCGATTGCGACTACATATCAAGTATGTGTTTATGAATCACAACCAACTCTTGATGATACCAGGCGTTCTGGACAAGATAACCGTATCCATTTGTCCCCACGAAGGAGAAAAGCGATCATCTTGTCTAACTGTTTTTAAATTGGCTAAATTTTACGTTATCTGTGACCAAGTGCACGAGCGTAATTCCAATATGGATTCCTGTTTGTGTCGGCCGAGGTCCCAAGATTGGACTGAGAACATCCGAGCGGCTTATTAGACGATGGGTTAATGAGTAAACGTTGTCGGATTTCACAAAACAGGGTCGGGTTCTATTCTCATGGGGTAATATACATACTCTTTACTATAGAAAGTTACCATCATGGGCATCATTTCAGACTCGTGCGAACGCGACATCTCCCAACGAACTCCTCATCGCTGATGAGCTGCAGAAAGCTCTGCTAGAGAAGGAGTCACAGATTGGCAACATAACCAAACAAGCAGCCGCCGAAATAGCGCGTCTGCAGAACGAGGTTGACACTTGTAGGAAGAGACCGGACTGCGGCGGTCGTCCACGTTCGACCACCACCTCTACCCCGACTGCCACTACTTCAAAACCAAGTGGGTCGTACTTTTAGTTCATTGTAACTGGGTAGTCTAGTGGTTAAAGCGTTCGCTTTTCACGCCGAAGGCCCGGGTTCGATTCCCTCCATTGGTAAAATGTTTGAAGCCCATTTGATGTTGCCGGAATATTGCAAAAAAGCGGCGTAAAAACCCCACTCACCCAATCACTTACTCACTGTAAGATCATGATGGTATAACCAAATACTTGTAATTAATTCTAAGATGTATTTGGGAAATGCTCACCACTGTTTTACTCATACTTGTTCACACCTCGCGTTGTACATAGCGTCGATATTGGTGCCTGTGTCATATAGCAAGATTCAATAATTTAATACAAAAATCTTTTGGACGTAAGTGATATGTTTCGTATTTTTTGTTACTTATGCAATTAATTTTTAACCCGATAAATTTTGTAGATGTTAAAACCAATCAAACACCGTATTGCGTGTAGGCACGTATATTGTTGTTTTTTACACAATATCCGTGTCCTTCGAAATAATCATTAGTTACTTCCATCAGTACTAGAGGCCGAGACCCGTGAAGATTAGAACTGATCTTCAGCAACCCATGCTTGTCGTAAGAGGCGACTAACGGGATCGGGTGGTCAGGTTCACTGACTTGGTTGACACATGTCATCGTATCCCAATTGTGTAAATCGATGCTCATGCTGTTGATCACTGGATTGTCTGTTTCAGACTCGATTATTTAGAAACCCCCGCCATATAGATGGAATATTGCTGAGTGTGGCGTAAAACACAACTCACTCACTCGAGACCTAGTTGTCTAAGGCGCCACGAATCGCTACGCAGAGTTGCTTCTATCAGACGCCTTCTATTTCACGACAGTCAATACCTACTATCATGCCACCTTCTGCGACTTCGAGAGCACCGGACAACTGTGGGTACAACCAGTCCAGCCAAGCCTTGTCGAAATGGTACCGTGGGAGGGCAAAAAATCCACCCTTACAGGGCCTCTGAGTGACCACACGCTGGGCACACCTGGTGGTAAGGAAGAAATATGACTGGGAAATGTTAACACTGTGTCGACCATTCTGGGTATGTGTGCCAGTCAGTATTTACGTACGTGTGTGTGTGTGTGTGAGTGTGTGCATGTACGTGTATGTCAGTCTTGTCAAACAAATAACTAAATCAGTTTTACTTCAGATCAAAGGTCAGTTTAGATATTTAATGTCGTTTAAAAGATCAAACATCAATTTAAAGATTTAATCTATCATTATATGTGTTTTCTTCATGGTTTTTAAAAAGAATATTTGATGTCAATCTTGTCAAAATAAATAACTAAATTACTACAAAAGGACTTTTTTACGGAGGACTTTTTACCGGTACTTTTTAACGGGGGGCTTTTTGCCTACAATCGCATTCCATACCTGCCCTATAAAGTGTTTTCCTCGGTCTGTCGCTAATGGCCTAATGTAGTAAACGACAGCGACAGTGAACACCGGCCTTCCAACCATGCCGGGTAAAAAAAATGTGCCTTCATTGAATAAGAGCTCAGAAATTCTAACGATTGGTTTACTTTCTTTGGATATTGTTTTTGATATAAGTGTAGACAAATCCTGACAAACGTCATTCCAACTAATGATTAGAAATATACTGATCTACAAAAGAAAGTATACACTGTTGTGAGGGTGAAGGGTAGGGGTTGGGTCTGAGTATAATTTTCGAAAAATATTTTTTAAAATGTTGTGATTGGGACTTGCAAATCACAAACACCTTGCACCTGTTACCAATGTTTGTTACTGGTACGTCACAATCTAAACGCTTTTGAAATTTTATTTATGTTGCTTTTTGGAAAGTAATTCAACAAGTACCAGATACTTTCTTTTGTAAGTCAGTATATATTCGAAAAGACGAATTTCACTATACCCAACTTCCTCACAATCAGTAGTTTTCTCATTTCCTCATAGATGTATTTTCATGACTTACAAGAATATTTGATTAAAAAAGTAATGAACAAAACAATGTTCCAGGAGCGTACCTGTACATAGATACATATAAATCGGCTCAGTGGTATGGACCTAAGACAATCAGTGCTATCATGGAGTCGCCTGTGTTCGCCCCGTCACCTAACTACTGTGTACGGTTCTGGTACAACATGTTTGGCAAAAACATCGAGGACCTCAACGTCTATGCCAAGGTCAGCATTGGGAATTTACTTGAACCTGCTCTTAAATATGGCGTCGTGGTTTAGAGACGGGAATATGAGAGGGCAGGGTAGGGCAATTTCGTATTTTTCCCTTCAGTGGAATAGGAGAGGTAGGCAGGAAGATATTTTGTCTCAAATTATGACTCGGATGATAAATATTGTTTTATCGAACTGATCGAACTTTCTGAGAATGTTGAAGACAATTCTACCCTACCCCCCACCCACCCAACATACACTCACCCACTTGTTCCATATCCCCAAGGGGCGGTGGGGTAGCTTAGTGGTTAAAGCGTTGGCTCGTCACGCCGAAGACTCGGGTTCGAATCCCCACATGGGTACAATGTGTGAAGCCCATTTCTGGTGTTCCCCGCCGTGATGTTGCTGGAATATTGCTTAAAGCGGCATAAAACCAAAACTCAGTCAGTCAGTCAGCCATATCCCCAAAGTCTTGAATCCACTGTGGTGTAGTGTATCAGAGGTTGTCTCCCCTACCCCCAACATACACTTACACACTTACCCACGTCTTCCTTTGGAGTATCCCCAAAGACTTGAATGCTCTATGATGTAGTATATTGGACTGTGTATACCCCACCCCAAAACATACATTACACATTTCTCGTGGCATATTCCCTCTGAACTGAATCACCTGTGGTATAGTATATCACTAGTTGTCCAACAGGTTGGCAGTGGTAATGGCTATCCAATATGGACGCGCTCCAAGGGCAACGCTATCGAGTGGAAGATGGGCGAAGTGGACATAGGCTCGGAATACACCTCAAGACCATTCCATGTTGGTAACACACCGCGTTAGGCTGATAGTGACAATGGATATATAATGTGACAATTTCTCAAGTTTTAAAACTCTACTCAAGACAAATCTCTTCCGGGTGTCATACCTCTAAAACTCTTTCCTACCTTCTGCAAAGCGCTTTGAGCATGACATTGAAAGTGGATATAGCACTATAGAAATTGACTTTATTTTTTAGATATACATGTATTATATATATTCTGTTTGTCTGCTCATCATAATAGCAGTTAATGTACTCACAACGAAACGTGTTTGGCTAAACCTTCTTGTCTATATTTTGTTCGTTAGCTAACACTGATAATCTAATATTCACTGTAGGTTGATATGTAGGGTGTCCCGATCCGCTGATCGTGGGTTTATTTAGTAAACGCAATAATGCTTGCTCTTTACCCATGACCAATGGTTTCAGTTAGTTGGAAGGACGAGCTGTGATATATCTGAAATACAGATAGAAGGGCGTTACACGCACCTCACTCTCTGGGTCCAGGCATCAATTGAAGGATGGTGCTGTTAGAATGCTTAGTGTGTATGGGCGGTGGGGTAGCCTTGTGGTTTAAGCGTTTGCTCGTCACACCGAAGGCCCGGGTTCGATTTCCCAAATGGGTACAATGTGTGTAGCCCATTTCTAGTGTCCCCTGCCGTGAAGTTGCTGGAATATTGCTACAACATCGCCGATATTCTGGTGGTTCGTAGTATGTGAAGCACAATAAACAGATGTTCGAAATTATGAACAACGTTCAACGACGTCGAGTCAGGGCGTTGCTACGTTGAAAATCAATCCAGCGGTCATTGTATCCTCCTGATCCACATTTACCCCGTATTAGAGACTCCCACATTGTTGTAGGATATCATACAAGTATGGAATCTGAGAAGGGACATTGTCGCTATGTCGCTATGTCGCATTGTCGCCCTCTCAAAAACAAGTAAAGTGAGGCGAAATAAACAAAAACGCGACACGCGACATTGCGACAATGCGACAATTCGCCCATTTGTCGCATTGTCGCGATGTCGAGTGTCGCGTATTGGTTAATTTTGCTTGTATTTGAGGAGGCGACAAGGCGACAATGCGACAATGTCCCTTCCAGGATTCCATATACAATCGAGCAAGAATTAAAACGTTTGTTGTTTTATCAACAACATTCTCAGGTTGTGTTTGAGGCAACCTCACGAAGTTACAAGACAAAGCCACACAGCACATACCGTTACGACCCCGACTACCACGACACGTATGGCAACATCGCGCTGGATGACGTGCTCGTCTATAACACAACCTGTAACAGTAAGATGTGTTTGATCAACCGCTTGATCGACCCTAATCATTAATAATCAGGGTCTTCATCTGTTTTTACCCATAAGTAGTTCCACATATAACTATTTTGTCTATATCATAACCACAAAGGTTAATCACTATTTTATTACTATGCATAGTGACCGCCTCCGTGGTGTAGTGGTTAGAGCGTCCGCCCGGAGAGCGGAAGGTCGCGGGTTCGATCCCCGACCGCGTCATACCAAAAGACGTTAAAATATGGTACTTGTTGGTCCCTGCCTGGCGCTCGGCATTAATGGTTACAACAAGGACTGGTCGGCTCGGAGTCAGTATAATGTGTCTGAGTGGGGTATCCATGCTTCACTGCGGCATGGTATCTCAGTGGGCTAGCACTATAAAACCAGCTTAAGTTTGGGCTAGTACCGACAGCCGCACATACACACACACGCATGCACGTCGTCATATGAGCGAAATATTCTCAAGTACGACGTTAAATCCAATTTCACCTCACCTCATTATGCATAGTCATTTCACATTTATCTGCAGCCTGAAGCTTGTGAATCATGCAGTCCTTATATAAGGTGGACAGAGGACTACACAGACTCAAAACTGGCGGAGCCAGTTCAGTTACACAAACACAGACATGACAAAGACATGAGACATACTCAAAACAGACGGAGCCAGGGCAGTTACATGACACAGGTGTAGGCCACGATAGAGGTGTAGGCGAAATGGGGTGTAGGCAATATGAGGTCAGGCCACACTGATAGCCTGGAAGCGACACTGACTCAAACATAACACAGTCACCTCTCATGGTAGAAGCTGAAACAGGCCCTAAAGCAGACACGACTGACACAATCAGGACACAGTATCGACACAGTCGGGACACTGACACATACCAGGACACAGTATCGACACAATCAAGGAATTGACACAATCGAGATACAGTATCGACACAACAGGACACTGACAGAATCGGGACACAGTATCGACACAACCAGCACACTGACACAATCGGGACACAGCAAGGACACAGGTGCGACGCTGACACAGCCAAGACGCAGATAAGGCACTGACACAGCCAGGAAACATACCACACACTGATATAGCCAAGTCATAGATCAAACTAAAACGTCAACGATACAGAGAAGGTCAGGACAGAGCTAGGGGGATGTGACTTGACAGTGTTACAGCAGCGCCAAGAACCCACGTTTTCTAAGATCTATATCCTGCTTTCAGGCCTTCCCCAGTGCCCTCCTGGTTCCTTCATGCGGACAGTGAACGACAGCCGGTCCTGCTACTCTTTCCACACATCGGCCGCGTCTTGGATCACAGGCCAAGTGAACTGTAAAGTAGAGAATGCCCTATCCCATTTAGTTGCCATCAACTCAAAGGAAGAACAGGATTTCTTGGTGAACGTCATCAAGAGCAATGCAGGTGACGATAAATCACTTCAAAGTGAGTGAGTGACTGAGTGAGTGAGCTAGCGAGTATGGTTTTATGCCGTTTTTTAGCAATATTCCAGTAAGTAATTCTCTTAATTCACGTAAGAGCTGACAGAATGGATATCTGGTAGTCAGGTTTAGGGATCGCTGATTTTGCGTCACTGTGTGCCTTTGGTAGGTTTGTTACACATCTGAATAAGTAAGTGAGTTTTACGCCGCTTTTAGCAATATTCCAGCAATATCACGATGGGGACTGCAGAAATGGGCTCCACACATTGTACCCATGTGGTGAATCAAACCCGGGTCTTCGGCGTCACTAGCGAACGCTTTGACCACTAGAGTAGCATAGTGACTGATAATTTCACCTCATGTCCCTAATACGTCTTAATTTTATTATTTAAGGCTCCAGCAATGATGAAAAAAATGATCCTCGGTGAATGAGAGCATCATTGCTATACATTGAACAATTTTAGCAAAATGTCCGCTGTGGTCCCAATCCCAACAAGGGAGAAAGAAATTGTAGATAGATGCGATGCGCAAGCTTCCTCTCTTGTGGGATTGCATCCAACTGCTTGCTCTCGACGAGAGCCACCCCGTTCTCGATAACCTTACTATCGTTTCAGGAAATCTTTAGAGGCCAGACGGGATACGAACTCACAATCGCACAGTTGCGCGGGTGCACGAAGCAAGCTGTATATTCCCAGCAGTTAAGCTGACTGAGCCACCACTACTCCCGTGGGATCGGCATTCGATTTTCCTGGTCTACTTTCCTGGTCTCGATGACCTTACTATCGTTTCAGGAAATCTTGAGAGGCCAGCTAGAGCTTCTTGTTGTTTCTCTTGTTACTGATATTAGTCCACTGCAGATAATACGTGATATCGCAGAGAACTACTTCGAGTTGCCCCGACGTGTTATCGATAGCACGAAGCAGTTGGATGGATTCACCATTTATTATTCTTAGGAGCGTTACGAACATGTTGAATGTATAAAGGTTCTACATTATGCTTTCGATATGTACACTCCGGGAGTGTTTTATCTTAAAAGTAATAACGTAAGCACTGTCGATCTCACGCAACCGAGGATCGTGGTCGATGCGGGCGGTTCCCATTTCCCGAGCTCGGTTTATCGATGTGATTAAAAATTATAGGTTTCCCGTAACAAATGTGAAAACGGTGCACGATTGGTTTTCGAACCCGATGCAATTCTGGCAAATCAATTCAATTTTGCCGTGTGGTGAGCGACAACTTGGTGTGGCGTGACTTTGACCGACTCTCGTCGCGATGAACTCAGTCAGTCCGTTTACTCGTTTCACGTTTACTATCAGATCAGACGTATCCTGAAAGAAGCCAGCACACCGCTTCCACAGGACAAGGCATGGGATGCAACGTATACGAACGTATTTGCGATGAATTTGAAATAAATCCGAATACTGATTTGCGTTTGTCGGGAGTGAATCACGGTTTGGACATTCCCATATCTCGTAGAAGCTAGCAAAAGGTTGAAAGAATGGGGTGGCAAGACGAATGCGAAATCTTACGTCACGACGAACGAGTGGAGAGATGATCTTATGGCTTTTGATAATAGCAAGGATTACCGCGGTTGGAGGTTTTTAAATGTATAGCAATATATGATGCTCTCATTCACCAAGGATAATTTTTTTCATCATTGCTGGAGCCTTAAATAATAAAATTAAGACTTAGTAGGGACATGAGCTGAAACTACCAGTCTCCATACTACTACTAGGCTATCCCACCGCCCCGTTTACACATCTACCACCACCACCATCAACTATAGTGATATGCTACCTGGCCATCATTCACAGCGCCATGGGTGGCCTAGTGGTTAAAGCGTTCGTTCGTCACACTTAGGACCCGGGTTCGATTTCCCCCCTACAACGTTTGAAGCCCATTCTTGGCGTGCCCCGCTGTGATATTGCTGGAATATCGCTAAAAACGGCGTAAAGCCCAAATTACGTACTCACTATCTGAAAGTATAGGAGTTGGACCAACTGAAACAGGACACATGAGTATAATCTGGCATATGTGTTCTGCACCAGAAGCCACCTGCTTGAAAGTATCTGTACACACATTCAGCAAGTCATCATGCTGAATGTTGAAAAATGTGGTCAGTTTAAATTACTGGATGGATTTAGTTTTCTTATAAAAAAACATATACGAAAAAGATATTACACAATTGGATCCAATTACAGCTGTCAGATGTCTCTATCTGGCCAGAAGCTTCTGATTTAGCGCAGCAGAACCTAAGCAATAAACAAAACAAACTAAAACGAAATTATGGCTTGAAATTTCACACTGTCTTTCTCCCAATAGCCTTGACGGCTGCTGGCATTGTCGGCTTCTACACTTCGGGCAACGACGAGTTGAATGAGAAGACCTTTCAATGGACGGGGTCAGAGGTTTCCAGCAACATTACCTACACCAACTGGTATCCAGGGCAACCAAACAACGTGGCCGGCGTTCAGCATTGCTTACTGATGGAGTATCCCAATGCTGACTACCAGTGGGGAGATATCGAGTGTAACACTGCACACCCCTACATCTGTGAAGTGGACCTGCCCAAGGCCGTGCACCAACCGGGGACGTCTCAGTAAAATGTGGAGGGTATAAATAGAATAAAGCTAGAATTTCACTTTACAGATTTAGTTATTGTGTTATTGCCCAAAGATCGGTATCATTGTTGTGAAGTAATTTCGATTTGTTTGTTTGTTTAGCGCCGCACTCAGCAATGTTATGGCTGTATGGCGGCTGTCTGTAAATAATCGAGTCTGGACCAGACAATCCAGTATAATCAACGGCACGAGCATCGATCTGCGCAAATGGGATAAGGTGACATATGCCAACGAGCCTGACCCCACGATCCCGTTAATCGTCTCTTACGACAAGCATGGGTTACTGAAGACCAATTCTAACCCGGATCTTCACGGGTCGAAGTAACTTGGAATATCAAAAGGACTTATTATGTAAGAATGCACAATGCCATTTAGAAAGTGGTCAGATATAACCATGTTATGCTTGGGAATTACACTTTCTCAGTAAAGTACAGATTCTCGTACTTTTGTTGGGTTGAGTCCCATCCGGGATTTGAACCCACACCCTCAGAGTCAGCACTGGAAAAAAAGTCCATGTTTACAAGACATTTCCAATTTTGGAAAGATGATGTTTCCAAAGATTTACAATTTTGGAAATGTCCACAAGGGGAGATAACTGGTGGGTGATGGTAAATCATTGTTATTTGCACGCCCCGGGACCTAATCCCTTGTTGATTGATGAGTGAGTCACAGCAGTTAATAGTCACCAATTAACAAGGCCTACTGCCTTGTTATTTAACAAGTTTTTATGCCTCTTAAAGAAGCCTCTGGAAGTAAGTTAAATCTTTGATGGGCATTAAGAAGTGGAATGCATTCTGTGACCTGATTTTCACCTGATGAAGGAGCAAGCATATGCTCCGAAACTTCGTGTTATTCACAATAAAGAAGTTGACATCCATAAATCTTGCTTTTCTTATTAAAAGGTAAGTTATTAAAATCTGCTGAGCTGTAGGCTTGTTAATCATGTCGCGGTGTGATTATCGCTCTAACACACCTGAGAGATTCGTCAACAGTGTGGTATGCACAGGCGGTGAAACTTGTATTGTATTACATTGGGTTGGTTGCATATTGTTTTGTGTTATGCTGTCAGTTTGTATGTATGTGTGAATGAGGAACCTCACATATTATGACATTGAAAACAGACTAAACTTAACATTTATTCCATGGTCAATATCGCAATGTTAGTGATATGGTAGTATACGCAAGTTTGTTTCACAGTTTTGATAATACCTTCTTTTATGCAGATAAAATTATTAAAAATGAACGAATAATGCCATGCTTCTCTCAGAGTAAGGGAAGATAATTCATATACTGATTCTGATCAAATTAGATATTTCTTTATCGTCCGAACAGAATTCACAAATTACGGATGTTTTGTGTGGGTGTGGTGTGTGTGCATGCACGCGTGTATAACATCTAACTTGATAGGTATTAAAATCAGGTCGTTTGTAACCATAATGACTATATTGGTTGGAAGACTTGAGGAACAAAAATACTTTCACTCTTCAAAAGGAACTGGAACAGTAACATTTTTCATGTTTTCATATGAGCTTCAAAACATTGAATGAAATAAATGCTGTATGATGAAATGGATCAGAGAACATTATCATGGCATAAATGACGTGTGAATGACACATGTAATGGTCAAAATATATAATCACTATGTTAGTTAACTCATGACCAGACACGTCAAACTGGTACCGATAGATGTATATCTAATACGTAAAAATTCAGTATTTCTTAGTACTTGAAATAGAAAACACAAATTTGAATGAGACTGAGATCAATCTGTTAGGTAGCAGTTTACTAAAGTAGAGCTTAAATCAACTTCAAAAGATTGGTCATTCGCAAAGTGAAGCAGATCTCACTTATACTGCAGTAAACAGTATGGGGATACACAACGAAACATACCACTTACGTGATAACAACTCCTGTTTATTGCATAGAGCGGCATTTCGATGTACAACGTTCAGGATAAACAAGCTGATTGAATGTTGATTGATTCCATCACTTGGAGAATGGAGTGGATTTAGACTTGTTGATCTTACTCTCCTGTTGGCCCCAACGACGTGCTACTTGCTGAATTACCTGTTGTTAATTTGCTGCTTGTCACTATGCATATATACCTCTATTCACCTGGTTGTAGTAACTTTTATCTTGATAACGGCGTGAGAATATACATGGAAACTCCCCCTCTATCGACCTTTGATCCAAACGGATGAGTTAACAGAAATGTTGATGCCCGTCTGTTAGCAAATTAACATTGGATTATAGAGACAACGATAGGTCTACGTGTTGATAGAAGAGGATATTCCGGATTATGCGAATGAGAGCACGCCTAATGAGAAAACGAGCCAAATATATGTATAAAGATAGTGTTTTATTTCAGTCTCATTTAGCATATATACTTAGCATATATACATTGAAATATAAAACACATAAAAAAACATAGAAGGCGTAGTAAGCCACGAGTGGTAACGGGAGACTTCAACCCAAACAACGGGACATTAGGAAGGGTGGATGCTCATCCGATGCTGTTATTTGAGAATACCCCTGGTAGTTCCTGTCTGATTGCAATAAAGTATCCCAGCAGTGTATGCTTTTCGGATTTTCTAATGCATAGATGGCATAGTGACTGATCCAAGTTGATCTTATTTCTGTGTTTTTTTACCTCGATATTTAATCATGCCATGTAAACATATGATGTCTATTGCATATTATATTTATGACAAATGAAAATTTACTTAGGTATATGCAATTTTAACTTCAGTACACATCAAATGCTTATATGTATTTCTTATGCAACAATGAAGTTCCGTTCGTATCCTCCAAACAGTGTCGGCCCATAAGTTTTTTCAGGCAATTAACATTGCATGCAATTCAGCAAGTACTACGCCCTTTGCTGTAACCAGTGTTTGGTGGTATAAACCTACACATGTTATTTGTCATCATTCACTTGATGGTCAGTTAATGAATTTATAACAGGTATGATGGTAATACCACGCAGATTACCCGACAAAGGTTCCCATTTCGCATTTCTTGTGTCTGGAGTAAATACTCAGCATTATGAGTTAAGGTCTGATGTGACAAATGTATTACATGTTAGACAGGAACTACCAGGGGTATTCTCAAATAACAGCATCGGATGAGCATCCACCCTTCCTAATGTCCCGCTGTTTGGGTTGAAGAAATTTTGTCAAGGTGGCCAGAAGCCCAGTCCCTGTGTCCGTCACGGTCGAGGGAGCAGATACCGACAAGCTTGCAGTTTGGTTTGGAAATTAGACTGTTGGCGAGAAACATTAATCGCTCTGGATCAGTTCCCCTCTAATTACATGGGGATATATAATGAGAAGAAGCATGAAAGTGTACATTCGACTTCGAAATGGCTAATGCTCAACTTGAACAGAAGTTTATTCCTACACCTCGTTGGTGCACCAGTTTCAAAATGGAATGTTAACTGTTAGACAGTTTGCTGATTCAGCGTCTCTTCTTTCTCATCTTTAATATATTTATAACGTACTTATAAATATGTCCATATAGTCTCCCGTTACCACTCGTGGCTTACTACGCCTTCTATGTTTTTTATGTGTTTTATATTTCAATGTATATATGCTAAGTATCGTTGTCTCTATAATCCAATGTTAATTTGCTAACAGACGGGCATCAACATTTCTGTTAACTCATCCGTTTGGATCAAAGGTCGATAGAGGGGAGTTTCCATGTATATTCTCACGCCGTTATCAAGATAAAAGTTACTACAACCAGGTGAATAGAGGTATATATGCATAGTGACAAGCAGCAAATTAACAACAGGTAATTCAGCAAGTAGCACGTCGTTGGGGCCAACAGGAGAGTAAGATCAACAAGTCTAAATCCACTCCATTCTCCAAGTGATGGAATCAATCAACATTCAATCAGCTTGTTTATCCTGAACGTTGTACATCGAAATGCCGCTCTATGCAATAAACAGGGAGTTGTTATCACGTAAGTGGTATGTTTCGTTGTGTATCCCCATACTGTTTACTGCAGTATAAGTAAGATCTGCTTCACTTTGCGAATGACCAATCTTTTGAAGTTGATTTAAGTTCTACTTTAGTAAACTGCTACCTAACAGATTGATCTCAGATTAAAACATCTCATTCCAAATTCGTGTTTTCTATTTCAGGTACTAAGAAATACTGATTTTTTACGTATTAGATATACATCTATCGGAACCAGTTTAACGTGTCTGGTCATGAGTTAACTAACATAGTGATTATATATTTTTTGACCATTACATGTGTCATTCACACGTCATTTATGCCATGATAATGTTCTCTGATCCATTTCATCATACAGCATTTATTTCATTCAATGTTTTGAAGCTCATATGAAAACATGAAAAATGTTACTGTTCCAGTTCCTTTTGAAGAGTGAAAGTATTTTTGTTCCTCAAGTCTTCCAACCAATATAGTCATTATGGTTACAAACGACCTGATTTTAATACCTATCAAGTTAGATGTTATACACGCGTGCATGCACACACACCCACACCCACACAAAACATCCGTAATTTGTGAATTCTGTTCGGACGATAAAGAAATATCTAATTTGATCAGAATCAGTATATGAATTATCTTCCCTTACTCTGAGAGAAGCATGGCATTATTCGTTCATTTTTTAATAATTTTATCTGGTTAAAAGAAGGTATTATCAAAACTGTGAAACAAACTTGCGTATACTACCATATCACTAACATTGCGATATTGACCATGGAATAAATGTTAAGTTTAGTCTGTTTTCAATGTCATAATATGTGAGGTTCCTCATTCACACATACATACAAACTGACAGCATAACACAAAACAATATGCAACCAACCCAATGTAATACAATACAAGTTTCACCGCCTGTGCATACCACACTGTTGACGAATCTCTCAGGTGTGTTAGAGCGATAATCACACCGCGACATGATTAACAAGCCTACAGCTCAGCAGATTTTAATAACTTACCTTTTTAATAAGAAAAGCAAGATTTATGGATGTCAACTTCTTTATTGTGAATA